TCAAATATTCTGTGAGATTGTCTCCCACCGGGGTAGGCGTTCAGTCGCTACGCTTTTGACAAACCTCTTCCTGACCTTTGACCTTTTTAAGGTCATCTTTAATCAGAGTCAAGGGCTACCTCACCCCATATTCCGTCCACATTCGATCTATAAATTTGTCTCGTCAATCTACTAACACTCATCTTTTCTTACACGAATGTTATTTATTTTTCTTAGTCAGATCAGATTATTTTGTTTATGAGACTACTGTAGTAGTAATAAATATATGTGGATGATTTACATTGTGTGCGACTGATGTTCAAGATTAACTATGGCACTAATTATAAATAACGCGAATTGACATTCATTTGCTGACGTCAAACAACTATACAAACAAATTGACATTTCAAAACTCCTCTCTCGGGGAAATTGACAGAGATAAATGAAGCATACTTGGATCTTTTACGTACAATATTCTTGTTATATTGCCCGACCCGTGTCGTTTATTTATTCATGAACGTGACAGAGAAAACTTCAAAATGTTGGAGAATATCATTCGTGTCGCGTCGAGTATCATTAATAGCTTTAAATTTATGTGCTCTTTTGAACCAATGTTTATTATCAGCCTCTTTGCTAAACCCTTGCTCACTTTTAAGGTTTTTTGACAGACCAGCAGTCCGAAATCATCCACAGTTGGGTATAATTTAGTAGCAGTAGAGCTTTTTTTGAAAAAGTTCGTCCAGGGAAGTAATACCACCTTACCTATTTCTGTTGCCAAGCAGTAATGTTAGCATTACTGCGTTACGGTTTTTGTAGGGTAAGCGCTAGTTACACGAGGCAAAAGAAGGCCACGTCGCGACCGTCCAGTTACCACGCCTTCATGTACATTAATAGCGAATCTGAATTCTATTTACTAGGCAACAACATTTAAATTCCTCCATAGACCAAATTCAAAATAGACTCGCCCTAGTGCCCGGGCGCTCATTTACGCTAAAACGTAAAAGATAAATAAATAGAGCGTAATTATTAATACAAAGATCGAACACTCAGAAAAAATTCCTTCGAATCGAAACATTCGCTCGGAATTTAAATACTGACATCAAATAGTAGATATATTTATTGTGGTTTAAACAAATTTAAAATTGTTCAGTATTTCATTTCTATTTCATAATCATACTGTGATAATCGAGAATTAAAAAGGATTATTTCAGTACAGCACGAAAATACTGTTTTTTCTTTTCAAAATACCAAGTGACGAGACGAATAAGTCGTGAGGATGGTACTGATAACGCCGCTTAGAGCTTTAAATAGCAAAAAATCGAAACTATGATGAATGAATGAATTATTGTATCTACAGGTTGTAAACATCACTATTTTGTATAGTTGTACAACTGAAATAATAATGTGATAACCCTGCGCTCCGAGAGAAGTGTAGGTATTGATGCGCTGAACAGGTGGGAGTTGTGTCACTTATCTTATACTATCGTATAACACTCCCGTAGTTTGTGCCATCCACCATTAGCTAGCTAAGTTCACCCACCAACATCCCGTGACTTTGACGATATCGTATGTCCATCTGCAGGCAGCATGTCCCACGTCTCTGTAACTATTTTTTGGCCACCATTTGGTTGTCCTTTTACTCCACCTGTCATCACCATGACTCGTAATACGTCATAATATATGTAATAACATGGTCTTACAGGCTTCAGATGTTTGTTGAAGAATAAGTTTTACCGAAGTTTAATTTAAAGCATGACTAGAGTAGATTATGATAATGATGTGCAAGATTATCTGGTCTCTAACTAGGGAATGTCCTAAAGCATTAAGAGTACCAGAGCGACAGTATTTATTCTTGGGCACCATCCGGAATTTTCAGACCAGAGTCAATTTAGAAATCATCGTTTCCGAATTGGTTCTATTGGATATTGAACTCGGGGTCCACAGTGCGTTGGGTCACCAAACTAACTATTTGACGGTGTAACTATGGTAATCAGTTATTTGTTCTGTCTATTTCAGTAACTGAACACAAAATGGTTACTATTGTCTTCATTGTTCCAGCTCCAATTACAACCACCAATGAAAAGCTAGCACTTCCCTCATGTCAGAGTGCGTAACGTCACGGCGGCGGCGGCCGGTCGGGTGAGCAATGCCCCGGCGCAAGAAACGCTTCGCTTCCCGCGTGCGTAACGCTTTGAGAAGCTTGCTGGCATTCCTCTTTAGCAACATTGGGGTTATCGTTCTTGTCGTCGGTTACGCTATAGCAGGTGAGTGTAATTATACATAATTATAATATCATACTTTGTGGCCGAGGGTTTTGAGTACTTAAATGACTAGTTTAAATAACAGGAAAAGGAAGAAAGGTAAAAGTAAAGGCTGTCATAAAACAAAATAACGATATAAACACTGGTACAATCGTGTAAAAACACGCCCTACTTAAATTACATGCAGGCTAGACATTGTAAAAAAAGGAAGTTACCCCAAAAGGGCCTGTATTTGTACAAATATTTTACTTTACAAGCAGTTAGGTTACATGATTTTCGATGGTATAATTGGTCAGAGTTTATATGAAGTCGCAGTAGGTCAGAAATTTGAACGGAAGGAAAGGAATTAAGGAAAATTTCAAAGTAGGTGGCCAGGAACCACAGAAAAGGGTGATAAAAAGTGGAATGACGATGAAAGAGGTCGCATCACACAAGTTAGTACAATTAGGTTTCGAGGGCAATTATATAATTCAGAAGTCAATATGCGCAAGTACGTGATGCTCTTAGAAGCTTGTTGGGGTTTCCTTTTAGCAACATAATTCCACTTGTTGCCGGGTATTCTATCGGATAATGTATTTTTTATAAGAATGATAAACCTGAGCGGAATACGGGTCGCCTCAAATTGGCACAGCGACTCAATATAAACTTTATCGTCTACAAGATAAGGTTACTTGGCTAAATGCAATACAATAAGGAACATGTTCTTTATTACGTGAAATACAAATTTCTTCTTTTTTTTCTTCTTTTTCTTCAGTCAACCGTGACCATGGGACCTGTAAAGGGCCCGAAACGTTGGTTTGTTTGAAAAAACTAATATACTCGATTTAAATCCGGAAAAATAGTTTCATTTCCTATACTAATTTATTTTAATGCAAAATAACAAAAGGTTTCAGCTGCTCGTCGCCGTGCTTCTCTTGTCATGCTTGTGCCGTCATGAGCCATGTAATGTGTACCTTAGCTTCGCAATAACAAGATATATTTCTATAAAAGTCAGGCTGCCGCTTTGCTGCATCGGGCTACGGAGCGTGAACTCTAGAGATATCAGTGCAATGTAGCACGCCGTTTCTACGAAATAAAGTTAAATAATAAATAGTAAAGGTGACGGTAAATGAGGGTGCCGTATACTGTAAGTATGAAACACATCGGATTGTTTTCATTTTATTGAGATTACAGTCCTTCTTTTAATTAATAAACGGTGAGCAACGTGCATTCGAGACAGGACTAGCATTACATATTGATTAATAATTAAATTGAATTAAATTTATTTATCACTTACGCTATTTTGTCGATTACGGTTACTAATGAGAAGGGCAATTATGACATTTTTTTCCTTTCTTGGGTGGAATTTAAGAAGGACCACTACCTGACTATCCCGTTTATGCGGGCTGTAATGTAACTTACAATTTTGACGGACAAACGATTCGGATTTTGTGTTCTATTTTGTAACGTAAATAGTTCATTTTCTATAAAATTCAAGTGATATAATCGCTATTTTCGAATTTTTATCACACGCTGGTTACACGGTGACGGCACGAGTCAGATTTATAGCAAAATAACATTTCTGCGCGGTATTTCATCACCTACAAATATTGAGCACGATAAGCCTAAAAGCCGCTACGCACAATGTACAATTTTTGTTGACGCAATCGCCCACACCTTAAGTTTCCATTACTTTGCAGCAATAAAATGCCTTATTATGATAACAAACAATTAGAGATATCCTCAAGTACTTAGTTCAGTTAAACTCTAAAAACAATATATTATTTTAACACTTTTTCTCATTTGTATTTTCTTTTATAGTATTTGTACAACGTGTCTTGTTCTGGTCCAAATCTAGTTTCAAGCCAATTAATGTATCGATTTATTTTGTACGTATGCTGTCCTGTTCGTGTAACAAAATAAAATAAAAAAAAAATAAATATAAGAAGGCCCAGGCTATGGTTTTCGCTATTTTAAACAAACTTTCGACATCCACGGCCACGGCAAATTGGCAACTTGAGATGACTGGTACAAACTTGCAAGTTTTGTTATGGCAATTAACAATTGATTTAATCACAGATTTCGGAACCAAATACTGTTGCCGATTAGCGAAACTTTCAACAGGAATGGCTACGTCTCAGCAGTTTCATGAAATTATATGAATAACATCATTAACAGGCAAAGAACAATAAATACAGTAGAAATGGTTAGTTAGCGTCAGACGCGTGCCAAGTTATAGGTCTCGAAAGATATATCTGAGCTCAGTCCGCCTTGTATGGGAGGGCTATGTGACTTGTGGCACCGTCTTGTTGAAACCACATGTTAGTGATATCCATATCGTCAATAATAGGCCAAAATTGAGTTGTGAACATCTCTCGATAGCGTAATCCATTGATCGTAACCGCATTTCCAGCCGAATTTTCGAAAAAAAAAACGGCTCAATTCCAACGGCACAAGTTACTCAGCCACCAAAACAAAGAATTTATTGCAAACCGAATTTACGATGGCATAATTTCACGAAATTCAGCCGTTAAGTGGCCAGCTCGATCATGTGATTTAACACCGCTGGATTATATTTTATGGGGTTATGTTAAAGACAGAGTCTATACCGAGCCAATCGAATCGATTACAGCCTTAAAACTCAAAATTGGTGGAGTGATTAACGAAATAGACCCACCATTTTCTCAAAAAGTGATTAAAAACTTTGATGAAAGAATGCACATCTGTAAGTGTGGTCATGGTGGACATTTATCAGATATCATTTTTCATTCATAATTGCCAAACCTTACTTTTTTTAAAACAATAAAAAATTGAATCGTTGTTATCTAAATTTATTGTTTTATTTTGATTTACAAAACAAAGTTCTTGCTGAAAGACCCTTTATTACCCGTGGTGGTATTACATATCATCAGAAAGGCTTAATTTAATAAATTTTCAGTTTTCTGTCTCTCGAAATATTTTTTTGTTACAAGAAACGAAAGTAAAGTTTATACCCATACAATATGGTCGTTTCTTGTTTGGAGAACTAAATTAATAACATCAAAACGTCGTAACTTGTAATGATAGGTATTAATGGTATTGAACTTTCAACGATATGCCAACAGGGTAAAGTTTAAATTATATTAAAATTCCAGAATTTCTTATTTCTTTTTAAATTTGAAACTACGACCAATCAATATCAAGATTGTGTTGTGTTTCAAATTAAGAATGTGTGAGTGTTGGCGACATCGGTTACGATAGTAATCGAGGCTTCAGGTACTTCTATCGTATTTTTCTTCCGTATTAGCAGGTAGTTGAGGGTTGCCAGTTGCCAAAACTCGAGGATCAAAATTGCTTCGTGCGCGCATCGCCTAATAAGGAAACTTAAGTGTTTTATTTGAAAACTTGTAAGAACAATTCATCATCATCATCTCGCAAGTACTGGTATTATTACCGATTTGTCAAAAGAAAATAATAAAAAACATTAAATTCAATTGTTTACTGCGTGTAAGTCGCGCGTGTCAAATTACACCGCGAGCCATCCTCGCAAAATTTATAAAATAGTCGCGCGCTAGCGTGGATATAAATTGTAGCGTCGCGTGTTGTGTGCGCCATGCTAACGCTGCTTGGTTGAGCTACTATTCCTTAGTTAATCCATTAATAACTCCTGTGAAATTGGTCCAAAATCCTATTAGCCTTAAAACAATAAATAGCTATTTTCTCTAACTAACTTAGAAAGGTGCACATTTGAGAATAAAATTGGATTTACGTGGAACAAAAGACGAAAGGTCGGAGTTCAGAACCGTACCCATTGTTCAATGTTTTTAGAACCTTACAAATAAACAAAGGCTACGTTAGCTAATTTCCTGATCAATTCTGCTCTGTACATAATACTTCTAGTAAGGTCCCAAAATTGTTACGTCAAAAAGTAGAACTTAATTCTACTGTTAACTTATGGGTAGAATTTGTTGATATTTATTATTAGTTGATTTTCCAGTTGTGGAAGAGCAGAGTCCTCTGACATATATGTCAGGTATATGTTACTTACTAGAGTAAGTAACATATACCTATGTTAGAACCCTCTGGTTCTAACCTTATCATTGTAATAATTATTGAAATGCACTAAAGTTTTTTTTTATAATAATCTGATTAAACATAGTTAGTTGAAAAATTGCTTTTATAATTTACAATACACATGAGAAGTATCTTATTTAGTCAACATTTTATGTTTTTATGTGGCGGACGGCTTAGAAGTGGATATCCCTACATACAGACTTATTCCCCGAACGTTATAACTTGAGTGATAAAACATCCCTCTGAATAATTAAATGTGTTTCTTTTATTGAGTTGTAATATTCCCCTTTGTTCTATTTTCATTTATACGAATCAAGGCTATAGTTTTATATCGCCCATAAGTTTCCCATGAAATCAGAGCAAGGGCATAAAGGGAACGTCCGTACTAAAAGCCGTTCACCGATCCGGAAACGCGACAAAAATTTGTGAAAGCTTATTATTCCACCCGGAACATCACAGCGTAAGGTCCACTAGTTACAAGTTCATTGGAAATTATTGTATTGTAACATCCACTTATGTGGTCTGTGGTAACATCTGTGCAGCAGCGATATCATAGTTTCGTGAACACTAGTCATCCATGCAAAAAGGTGCCAATGCGATACTGGACACTTGTCTGTTGTAAGTTTTATCAAATTCGTACCGCCAATTGAAGGAACCTGCAGTATTTTGGACACGTAACGAAGAGTAAAAGTCACTCAGCGTACTATAAAAATAGAATATGCTCGGAGTATGAAGAATAAGATTGGAAATGTGGTTATCCGACAGAGAATCAAGGTCGTCGACGTAGCTGGAAGAATAAGCTGAAGTGACAATGGGCTGGCCATATCTGACGAAGAATCGATAATCAATGGGGAAAACGAGTTTTTAAGTGGAGACCTCGGCTCGGCAAACGTGGTGTATGATGCCCTCTGGCCAGATGGAGTGACAATCTGCGAAAGGTAACTGGTAGCGACAAGCTGAGGACCGGGCAA